ATTGAATCATCTGCTTGCTGACATGCACTTTCAGAGACAATCTCGCCTTCATTATCTACTGCCACTCGGGCTGCCACTCCTGGAGGACCACGGAGAACGCCAAAACAATCGGGCCCTGCGCTATGGGTTGGCAATTTACCTCATGGGATTAGCATCGTAAACGTCAAAGAGTACTTCTCTCAGGGCGTTTCCGACCAAATCGAGAGCGTTTTCCTCATCTCAAGAAGCCACTGCGCGTTCATCAATTATAAAACAGAAGCTGCCTGTTCTGCAGCACAAGAGAAATTCCACGACTCCCGATTTCAAGGCTGCCGTTTGGTTTGCAGACTACGGCCAAATGCGCGTCCGACAGAGTCCAGGAAAAATTCAGGTGATGTTGCGAGCATCGCAGCTGCGAAAAACGAGGAAAATGACAAGGCGGCTATTGCGAGTATGGACTCTTCGGTTCCGACCCCTGGTGAGAAGGTGCCCAATCGGTATTTCATTGTTAAGAGTATGACGGTGGAGGATTTGGAGAGCAGCCGGCAGAGCGGTATTTGGGCGACACAGACCCATAACGAGGTCAATTTGAATCTAGCGTATGAGGTTAGTTCCGTCTATTTATCTCTCTTGTCTTTTTTCCTTTTTAGTGGCATCTCACTAATTTCCGATAGACCGCGGATAATGTATACCTCATTTTTTCAGCCAACAAGTCTGGAGAGTACTATGGATATGCCCGGATGGTGTCGCTCATTCAGGAAGATGAGAAGTTGGCCCTGGAGATGCCTCACAGGCCCAATCATATTGCTACGGAAGCGGAAGAGCCCAGCGTGACTCTGACGCAAGCCTCGTCCACCGCCCGCAGTGGCCGGATTATCGATGACCCTGTTCGGGGCACCATCTTCTGGGAAGCCGACACATCATCTGAAGATGATGGAGGAAAAGAAGAAGACGGAGAAAAAGAGGAAGATGACACAGCTCTGGCAGGGGTAACAGGAGCAGCTCCCAATGGTGTTGCAGAGGTGGATGCGGATAGGGATGCCAACGGCGACAAGAACGTTGGCGGGCCCACAGCCGTTACGGAAGATGCAGCAACGGCAGATACTACTACAACTGCCGCTACTACTACAGCAGCGGCAGGAAGTCAGGCCATTGGGCGACCATTTCGAATCCAATGGCTGTCTACGGTAAAAGTACCGTTTTATCGCACGCGAGGACTACGCAATCCATGGAATGCCAACCGGGGGGTTAAAATCGCCCGGGATGGCACAGAGATTGAGCCTAGGGTTGGCGCACAGTTGGTGGAACTTTTTCACCTTCCATCGTCGGGCGCGAGTACGTCTTCGTACCGGCTTCCGAATTGATATCTGACAAAAAGAAACCACAGCGCAATTGCAATAAGAAATCAACGGGGAAAAAAGAAAAGAAAAATAAATGGCAATGAACGAAAAAGATTGGAGTGGACAAAAATAAGAAAGAGCAAATTAGATTCCCGCCACTTTGGGACTTCTACAGGTACAGTGACATGGGTACTCGACAGGCAAAGAACGGATAGAACTTGGCACACGGAATATACATGGTCTATGGAAGATATATGGTCTCTAGACAGAATATCTATCGTTAAGAATGAAATTGGTTCTCTTGACTTTAGCTGTTTCATGGGTGTGTGTTTGCAAGTCTCCAGAAATACCGCCACCATGTGCAGGAGTACGAATATGTGTCTGTTGGTGGGTTGCATTGGATATAACTTGGCATAAAGGACCATGGCTAGAATGGTCTGACCATCAGACGATCAGTGATTGGTGTGTCTACATGCATCATATGGTCTAGATGGAGTAACTGCGCACGAGGAACTATGCCTGATATGACCCCAAACGTGCTTAGAACGGAGTCTATCTGTCTCTTGACATGGTGATTCTGAGTTGACCTATAAGCTAGTGTTACGCCTATCTACACCCATAGTATTACTGGTGGTTATCCTGGGATGCTGTAACCGCTACGGGAAATGCGGGGAAGTGTCGTGGCCAACAGCGATCAGCGGGCTCTGATTGGTTGAATCTGCTCCCCAGGGATTGGGTGATGGTGATCCGGAGGACCGGGGGTGCCCCAATAGGAAGCTTAGCAGTTGGACAAAGTCAAGAGTACTCAGTACAGAATGTAGTCTCAGGGCATGGAGAATGACTGCAGACTGGCCATTGCGGGATACGGAGCTTGATGGACGAGGAGGGAGGGAAATACTCTATCAGGAGCGCAGTAGTATCACATCATAGATAGGAATATGTAGGTACCACGGCGGTGGCCTGAGGTGAGCCAAAAGGGGCTAGACCCATCGCAGAGAGGGGTTATGTAATTGTGGGGTGACGGTAGACGAGGTTATTTATGATCCCATCACTCTCTCTGTCCTCTATTCTACACTCTAATCTATTCTTGTAACTTGTCTTTATCTTGATATCCATCTCAATACTATCCCCAGTACTGCCAGCACTTTCATTCTTCTACAATCATCAATTTGACCGTTAGTTCTATCGTTTTCCCAATCTCAGAGTTCCATCCGTCCTATCTGGTCTAGGGAGACTCTTGTCGGCTTCAATTCATTTATTGGCCATATTGAGCAGCAGGTGAGTGTCCTCATTCAGACCAGCAAGCCACGGCTGCTTCTATCTATACCGCCACTTGGCCATTAAGAGTGTTAGAGTTACAGCTAACTGTTACCCCAGATTCTCGCGCATTATTCCCTACGCCGCATTCCTCATTTTCTGTCGTTCCTCGTCCCTTGAATTGTCTTTTGACGTCACTGTCTGAGATTGCCCTACAAAGCACAAATTTCGCAACTGGATAACGAATACACAATTAACATAACTCAATCCGAATTTTCATGATGTCCAACGACCGCGCAACTTCTCCCATCTCCGTTCCCTCCTCCCACCAACGCAGGGCATCTCTCGCCTCCTTCTCGTTCGGTAGTCCTCCAGCTGCCAACGCTGCCAACTCTTCCACCGCTCCTCAGCAGCGGAGACTCTCCATTACCACCCTTGGCCTAGCAGGCTCTCCCACCCAGACCTCTCCTTTCAACGGCAGACACTTCAGAGGCGGTAGTGTCTCAAGCTCGGTGGGATCCAACCCCACCTCCTCTGAGGACTCGATTAATGAGGAAAGTGAGCTGGCTGGCGCCACTCCTACCTCTCCTTTCGCCCGGCGGGTCTCTTATGGTGCACAGGCGCTGCGTGATGTTCGGAGGGGAAGCGTTAACAATGGTACGTATCTTGAATCTTTGGTGTCCCTGATCACTTGGCTAACTTGTTGGAAACAGACGAACGCTTCAATTGGTCTGAAGCTTTACGCACCCGGGCCGAACGTGCTCCATCCCTGAGTGCTATTCAACAGAACCAGAATGTGGCCAACGCGAACCGTCAACGGGAACAGGAACGTGCAGTTCAAATTGCCACGATGGAGCAACCCGTCCGAGAGATTCCAAGGCAGCCCAAGCACAAAAAGCCGGACTTCTTCCAGGAGAAGATCCTGCGAGGAGACTTTATGGACTGATGTGTAATTATTTGTGTCTTCTGCTTCATTCTCATTTCTATCTGCTTCACGCTGGGATAAGGAAAAGCGTCGGAAAAAGTGCTTTCATCCTTTCTTTCCCCTTCTAGCAGACACGGTCAGCTCAAGCAGCTCTGCACCGATGTCGATTTTGGCAAACACGGTACATGTGGTTTACAGCGGGGTTCTGGGATTAGCGGAGTTATCTGGCAACTCGGTACGATTTACGGGCATCGTCTGATTTATATGGGTACACTGACGATACGTTTGGTTTCTTCTTTCGCTTGTGGCTTTGTTTTCACATATTTCTTTCTACTTCTATATGTCAGCCCTGCTGGTCAGACTGTCTTTTCATGTTTTATGTTTTATCAAACGGCCAATACACAGAATGTATATGAATATTGATTTCAGAATGAGAAACAGCAGATATCTTGACTTAACTGGGTATCTGAATTACAACACGGGTGTTTCATCTCCAGCGCTAAAATCCACGAGTAGCTTGTGCTTATAATATCTGTTATGCAACATCCGTGCATTAAATATATCAAGCTAATCAATCTATTAATAGAAGTCTATATGTAAAGCGCCTACCCTTCGTCATAATTCAAAAATCACCATTTAGCCACAAACCTCGACCTCCTCCTCAACGCCTCCCCATAATGAAACAACAAATGAATCCCAGTAGCACATCCAATATTTAACCCCGCCAAAAGACTACATACTTTCTCAATCCCTAAGTTCAAATACAGCGGTCGCGAAAAGATAATAGCACCGCACACAAACGCACCCCGCGTAAAATCCGTCGCCGCAAACATACTTGCTGCATACTGCGGGTAGCAACCAGGAATGTAGAGAAAAACGCACTGCATCAGGATGAACACGCAGGCTGGGAAGATGGCGATTCCTATCGTCGGCACGATCCAGTGGATTTCAGCCGTGCTGCCCAGCCGAACAGGAATAGCTCGATGGAGGGGCCGAAGCAGGCAAAGAGCGCGGGAATTAGTACAGTTTCGGGTTTGATGGGAGCTTTCCAGAATACTGATTTCGGGAAGTGAGTTTTGTGGATGTAGATGTTGTATATAACGAACGAGATAATTGTTCCGACCACGATGGCGAGAAAGACAGCTCCCATTTATCCGAGGTTGAATCCGTACATGCCCTGATAGACGCTGGGGAATGCCTCGAAGAAGGGATAGTAGATCCCGTATGTGAGGGAGGTGTAGCATTTGAGGAACAGGATTGCCGGAACGAGGAAAGTGATTTTTGATGAGACGAGGAGGGATTCGCGCACGACTGTGTGGAAAGAGATGCCTTCCTGCGCGATTTCGGCTGATGTTTTGTGTTTCTTTTCGTTGTCGTCGTTATCCCCATTCAATTTTTTTAACCTTCTCGCCCGTCAATGAAGTATCGTCGCTGGACTCGTCTCGGGTAAGAATAACAAGAGAAGGATCAGAATTGGCGCAGCAGCAATCAATATCTCCCACATCGAGAACCGCCATCCCAGAACTGAGATCGCAAACCCCGAAACTAGTGTCCCGATTGCAGGCGCGCAAAATATACACAGCACCCAGCTCGTCATTGCATGCGGGAGCAGATCAGACGAGTAAACACCTGCAATTGACGCACCTCCAGTGGCTAGACATGGGCTTCCAAAGAAGCCTTGCAGGAAGCAGAGGATTTTAAAGCCGATGGCCGTAGGGGCTATGGCGGTTGGGATACTGATGATGCAGAAGAGGGCGAAGGTTAGGGAGGCTGCGGCCGATCTGGGGACTTCGCTAAGGGAACTGAAGAAGAGGGGGGCTACGCCGTATCCTAGGCTGAATTAATCAGTATATACTCTTATAGATACGGATAAACAAATTGACATACACATAAAGGGCAAACCCCAACGAGCCCTCCGCTCCATTAACTCCAAACTCCTCTCGAAACGCATTCTCGCTCGCTGTGTATATTGGCGCTGCCATGTACACCACAAAGCTATAAGCGCCAATATAAACGCCACAAATGCTCTCTTTGGTCGGGACCAGTCCTACGGGTTTTCTTTGTCGTTGTCCGAATACCAGTCTACCAGGATGATGTTGTGTTGGTGTTGGAGCTTCTTGCATTGGTGGTCGTAGTCACTTTGTTCTTCATCGTATCGTAGCCAGGATGGACTGAGTATCAGACGTAGACATTGCCCTGCAACACTGTCGCGGATAAGTTTGGCCATCACGTTTTATGTTCTGGACATAGTAAGTATATCCTCTATACGAAGCAGCGACGGAACTCCGTATCCTTGGAAGTTTTGAGCTCGACAGGACAATTGACAGATGTGATCGTAAATGAGCCGTTTTCAAATATGGATACCAACGGATTTGTAGGTTTTAATCTTTTTCTTGATTATCAAGAAGATTCTACTGTTTTTATATGGAGACATTTGGAGGTGTTTGCCCACTTCTGTAGAGGCGTCTCCAACACCACCAACGATCGCCCTGATCACTATGCGCCACTCTGAACGAATGCATATTTTTCTCGGCAAAGGTCAGCATATATGTCAAGGCTTTCCCCGATAATCCTCAGAATTGCCCATTGTTCGTTTCCCTTTATCAGGCGAGCCCATAGTTTTACCGCGACGTAGGCTAAGTGAAGACAGTTGGATGGAGATGCAGGGCCAGGACACAGGCCTTCATCTCCCGATGTTCTGCCCTCTTCGACAATGTCGCTTATCCAATTAATCAAGCGGATTTCATGTTCTAGGAGCAAGTCAATATACCTTAGTCCAATGAACAAAGCGCATGCAAGTGGTAAATGCATACCATCAAGAGATCTCCTAGTTCGGCACTCTGAAATACAGTGTAACCATTTGCTGATAAAAACTGCAAACTCCATTCCGCAAAGCGAGTGCTGTATGCTCGATACGTATGTATGGCCCCGAGAAACAAAACTTATTCCCAGCTTTACCGGTATACTCAAGGCATGCGTCGCATGCAGTATTGCCGGAAGAAGATTAGGACCGCCGGGTAAACGAGGTAAATCCATAAGCTTGTTCGCAATCTTCTCTGAATCTCGGGATTGCAATGCGCCATATGAGCCTATATTGAAAGCAAGTCGGATATACGCTAGGCCAAGCAATGCTGTTGACGTGAAAGGAACAGGGCCGTTTGGATTCCTGGGATCAAGGCTTGATTCAGGTGCTCGTTGCCATTGGGAGGTCCATGCACGTAAGAAGTTCCTAGGTAAATTAGCAATTAAAATGCAAGAGATAATAAGCATTCCTTACCGAATTTCTTCCTTTTGGGAGACCAGTAGAGGATGTTCTCCATCGCTATTAAAACAAAACGCCTGATACATCAGCAGAATTCGTTGAATAAGAGCATGCAGTAGAATATAGTTGGCCAATGTGGATGGAACCAGTTGAGAGTCGATAGAGTTTGGATCTCGGGAAATCCGGGCCAACTGAGCGAGAGCATCCTGGAAACGCATCTGTTCTTGATGGCCTGGGCCACGAACCATAGACCATCTTTCGCGGCAAGGAGCAAGCCATTCCATGCAAGAACATGGTAGGCGAAGATTTATTTCATCGCTCAAGATGATCGGGGGCACGTTGAATGCTATGCTCTGTAAATTGAGAAAGACAAAGGAAAATAACTTGATTCTCCTGTGAGATTCCTGTTCCACCCAGGCATGCCAATCTGTGGTAACATTTTGCAGAGCTTCTTCGTCCTCATCAAGGCAGCTTTCTCTCACACATCTTGCTAGAAGGCTCTGGAAGTTAAATGCTTCTCGCACAATGTCTGGCTCGTGGTGCCATGTTGCGAAAAATATGAGGTAAAGAACGCATCGCGCCTCGCACATCAGTTCATTGTACGAAGAGCCATTATAATTATCCGCCCTGTGGCGAGAACCTGTCAACGGCTCGGTAGGACGCAACGAAAGGTTTTGGTTAGTCGCTTTCCTTTCTCTTTCCAGCGCTTTGTCTTGGATAATCGCCTTTGCTGCGTAGAATAGTAGGGTTCCCTTTCGATGTTCATGCCGGTATTGAGCTCCAAGTGCGGCCATGGCCAGGATGGTTTCCGGCTCGCAATTATCTAGCTTAAAGGTTGGAATGTGTACAAGTGCCGCATGAGGATAGAATCCATCAAAAAAGGCATTTACAAACCGCGTTAAAGAGTGGGACGATGGCATGACGAAATTAGTTACCGTAGTTTGAAATTGCACCAGTGACTGGAGCAGGTGGCTTCGATGTTCGTCTGTAATCTTGAGAACAGGGAAAGTCAGGACACCAAATTCCCCTACAGTTATGTCAGAATTCCGTTTCTACCATGACGATGGCTAGGGGAAAAGTGAGGTTTACCAACAGCATCCCGTTCGACCGGAAACTGAGTAAGAGGATGGTTCTGTTCTGAAGAAGCAGAATGCTCTTGCTGTTCATGACTGACAGAAGAAGTAGGCAGGAGATGGTATATAGGCTCTCTAACCATGATCCGCGAGATGTCAAATTCTGATGGCAGGGCCCAGTCGGATGTGAGACCTAGGCTGTGACTGAAGTATTCAAAATCCCGCAAAGGATCATAAGCATCAAGTAGTGACGAATCACCTGCAGCAGATTAGCTCCATTTGCATTAGTACTATCTAAGCTAGACTCCATACCCGCAGACTGATATTCTGACAATTGTCCCTGCTGCTCTATGGATTCAGCAGGAATACTTCGAGTACCAGGAATGTCCCAAGGAATTGGCTCGGTAAAAGCAGCATTGAAGTTACGGGGTTCGCTCTCTTGGGCGACGCTAACATCGCCAGTCACCGGGGTTGTCAATGAAGTGCTTGGAGAATGTGCGATGCTCTGATGGCGCTTCAAGAGATCACGTCTAGCATAAGATGAGCCGCATGTACACTTATATGGTTTCTCATTCGTATCTAAAGGCCCTCAGTTCTCTGATCGAACCATTTTATTTGGGTTGCGTATTGGTAGCAGTACTCACGAGTTCGGACATGCCGTTGGAGGTGTTCATGGCGGCGGAAGTGACGTTTGCAATGTGGGCAGGTTCGGGGTTTTCTTTTGCCAGCTGGAGCAGCCTCCGGGATCTGCTCAGCTGAAGATGGTTCCATAATTTAGTGATGTTATGTGATCAAATTCTTATCCTCAATCAGTCTTTGCTATATAATGTCGGAGGCTTGGAGGTCCTCCTACTACCATTAAGGGTGCATTAATCAGCCGGGATCGGTTGGAGGTGCCCTAAACGTCTCCAAATACCTCATCTATAAATCATGGTATCAACATTGGTTGTGATTTTTATTCATTGTTTACTGTCTCCTTTCACATCGTCAAGATCACTTATCTCATATCTATTCATTCTCTTCGTAGGGGAAGCGTTGTAAAAAAAAAAAAAAAAAAAAAAAAAAAAGTCGTCATTAACGTACGTCAACGAAGAAGGCGCCGGTCAGAAGCATAGCGATCTATGCCACTATTCCCAAGCCGTCATCATCGGTAACGTTGTAAAATGTTCCGGCCAAGGAGGGTGGACAGTCTCAGGAGCTCTGGACGCTAGCGACAGAGTGCTTCGGGCTGCAGAACTCTGTGGGTGGGAGGATTTTTATTTGGTTCGTTCTTATCACGTCGACATGGGAGCTTCATATGACCATTTTTCAAGAAAATTCAGGAATGTATGCCAGGACACCGGCCAATTTGGACCGCTCTCGCGATTCCTGGATTAGCATTTTCAACTATGAAAATTGAGATTGAGGTAGAGGCCATCAAGCAGTAGGAGAACACTTGAATGATTTGTGGGTAGCGATCAGTTCAATGTCGAAAGTCCTTCATGTTGACTATTCGTTTCGTTCATCCGGTCCCACGGCCTTCGGGCAAATTGTATGGCATAGGGCTTTACTAGGGCTTAGGATTAGATAGTAACTACTATTTCCTCGTGTTCGCAGGTGGAAAACGCCGCATCTGCATTCTATGATTAGCTGTCACTATACATGCAGCTTATTATTATAAAAAACACACACAAAAGAAAAAAAAAAAAAAAAAAAACTATGTATACTTTGAGTAATTACACCAGCCCAAACCGGATCAATTGTCTTCTGGGACGACTTATGAAACCAATTAACTTCTCTTCCGCTAAGGAATGCTATGCAGAAGTATCTTCTGCCAGTCAGGTCAGTACGGAATACCGTTGGTCAACAGTTGGAACTGATCGTAGCCCTTAGTAGAGATGTTCATGTATGACTTGCGAATGAGCTCCCGCATGAATTCAGCTGCTTCTCTCTCGCTCTTCTCAAGCACAAACCGGTCGCGGAAATTCTTTAGCGTATCAGGCTTGAAACACGGCAGGCCACTGTCAAGCATCAATGACACAATGTGGGTTAACTTGGTGCAGTGCGGACGCGAAGCGAGGAAGGCCTTCACCACCAGGGATTCGAACCATCGATATGGCTGCGTATTAGTAATGTGGTGCGAGCTTGTTCCGGAAGCATTAGCATGTGTTTGAGGGATACCGCCCATTACGGCAATCATTTCAGATGTTAGCTTGAAAGGCGCGCGCTCAAAGCGTACACCTCCTGGAGCTATGTCGAAGCAGAACCCGAAATCAATATGTATGATGTGGCCAGCATCGTCGACCATGATGTTCCCGTTATGACGATCTTTGAATTGCAGCAGATAAGTTATCAAAGAATACGCTGCCATACTTTTGACAAAGTTCGTGCGCGCCTCCTGAAACCGGATCGAATCTTCCCCTCCATACTTAGAGACAAAGTAATCATAAAGGCCATTTACCGCTTCGCGACCAAGCATGTCACGAGATATTGAATTCGGAAGAACGTCAATGACTCCGCAGCCAGGAGCGGTGGAAGTGACTCGGTACGGGAATACCCATACATCTAGACCAACGCTGGAAAAGATGCTCCGAAAAGCGGCAATCATCTGCAGAGCCAACATGTCTTGACGACAGTCGTCACCGACCTTGAAGATGGCTGACTGCCAGACATCATAGGTCTCTATGTTTGAATCTGACGTGGAATCTTGGACCCCAGTCAATTGCTGCTGGTTTGAAGTAGGAGCACCTGAAGCATCAGGAGTGCCCGGTCCGTCATACTTGACTCTCGTCTTTTGAATTCTGAATGTCGCCATGTATGGGGCCTTTGCATGACTTTGTAATGGTTTGCCGGATTTGCGGTCTATTCCAACAACGGCACCATCCGGATTACTTGGAAGATAGACACCAACTTCAACCTTGATCTTCCGAAGTTCTTCCTCGATCTTTTCCTTCTTTTCTGGTTTACTCTTCTTTATGTAAGGACGAAGTTTCCCGGATATACCGGTGATATCATTGAAGAACGAGAATTCCCTTTCATAAAATTCTCGCTCTTCGTCGGAGAAGCTTGAGATCAAGGCTTCCATAAACTTGTCCAAGGTTGGTTTGAGGGGATCTGGCTGTTATTTTACAGTGTCAATGAACGAACCAAATATGTAGGGAGTTGTCGTTTTTTTTTTTTTTTTTTGGACTTACCACCTGTGCATCTTCGTCTTTGTATGAATTCGCCTTCATATTCCATATCACCTGATGTGCGAATAGCTGGGACTGTTTTGCCGTTTCGAGGATGTAGCGCTCCACGTAGCCCAGCGTATCATACCTGAGGGCCTGTACCAACTGTGGGACAAAGTAGAAACGGACATCTACCGGGTGGCTCTCCAACGCCTTCATGGCATATTGTAAAATGAACGGATGGTTGCCATATGCAGGTAAGAAGTACGTGAGAGCTTCGGTAGGGTTGACAGAGGCCCAGTACAGCAAATACTACTTGTGGTCAGCGATAGAAGCCTTAATCCTGAGAAAAACACCAAACTGACCTTAAGTTGTGACGAGACATCCGGAGGTAATGATGAGCCGAACATAATTTCTAAGCCATTTGGCTCATCAAGAGCCTTCTCCGGGAAGTTGAGCAGTAGCCAGCGGATATCGTTTCTCAATTTTGCGGATGAAAGACGAATAGCAAGTTGTATAGCCAACCCCGGGTTTTCTTCCCAGGCCAGCCACAAGAGAGACGCAGCTTCCTATGAATAGAGTTAGTCTGCACCCTGGCAGAGGAAAAAGAGTAAGAAGTAGGCAGTTACATACTTCTGCAACGTTTTTACCTCCCGAAGCAGGGCCCATGAAATGCTTCCGTTCCGGCTCTAGGGGGTATAGCCAAACTTTCAAACGTGATCGTTCGTTTTCAATGAACATCTGCAAGAGCTCTTGCTTCGCGTGCAACGACTTGTATGGTCCATAAGTTTGACTAGCGATGCGGGCAACATTTCTCAATTCCAAAGCAACATCATCAAGTATCTTGTCCTCGGCCTTGAGCTGCAGTCGATTTCCACCAAATGACCACCTAGGATACCATGTTTCAGCAATGTTCCTTCCGGGCTAGCGAATGATAACATACCTAGGCGGGTGCTTGAACCAGCTTAGAGCAGCTGAAAGAATCTGATCCTTGAGCTTCCATGGAGCGACCTGGTCCTGCGAACTGAAATGTTTCAGAACCTTTAGACCAAACAAAATGACGCGGAAATGAATTTCTCTGGCTAGCGGATGACCGTGTGTCTCTAAGAGTCCCACGGTCGTTCTTCCGATCAGGCGACAGAACAATCGCCTACTTTGAGGCTTGCCCAGCCTCACGGCACTGAAGTGACTCTCAAAGAACTGAAGAACATGGGAGTGAGGTGACAGAATGTTCTGAGCCTTCTGTTGCTTTTTGAGTAAAAGCTCCTTATCTGTTGGCAGAAGCTCAATTTTTGCGTAAAGTGGATCAACATAACTATTGCTGTTAGTACCAAGCGTACTCACCCCTAAGAAAATTAAAGAAACAGGAGTACTTACTCGAAAGAGGGGTTAAATAATCCCTTTTTGCGCCGTATTGTCTCTTCCCAGCCTTCCATGACCTCGACCATGATCCTCGACTCAGTTTCAGGATTCTCATTCATGGTCCCAAGCCAAAGAGAAACGCCCATGCTCATGGATTCTTTTGAGAATATTTGAAACGGTAAAGCAACGAAATAATGGACTATTGAGGGCCGGACATAGTTTTCGCTGCAAAGTATGGCAGCGGCTTGTCTCAATGCGTCTCGAATTTCAATGAAGGAGACGTTTTTTCCAGTGCTGGCCCGTTCGTATAGGCGAGAAAGTAGGCTCTCGACATTTTCAACTAGCCTTAACGGGCTAATAGTGGCGTGTTGGTCTGGAGCACCACTGAGTTAGATAATGATAGTAAAGCAGAAGACACTAAAGCACATACCGTTATCTCCCCCAAAATTAAGCCCCGAGCTCCCCAACGCAGGTACGACGACAGGGTACCGGTATTTTTGTCGTGAGCTGTATTGGGCAACGAACTCAGAGGCGACGTTGACCTTGTTAATCCCATAGTTTTCAATCGACCCTAGATGCAAAAAAGGTTAAAGATAGTGGACTAAGCCTGATACGTTGCAAAGCACTCACCAAGTCGCCGATCGCTCTGAGGAATAAACGAGCCCATGTCGAGTGCGAAAGACCGGCCCAACGAAATATTTCCGTATCCACTATCGTCCTCTGACTCGGATAGATAAGTCTAGTATCATTGTGAGTGAAGTGTCTCCAATAGATGGAGAATTGACAGGGGTGTACCTGAAGCAAGCCCTTGACATCTAACGGCGCTATATCCATCACTGTGGCTACCCATGCTTTGGCACGCTCGTGGAACATTTCCAAAGTCCCTCTTCTAAAGCCATAGTTATCAGGTAGGTCAACTTTCACGGTTCCTCTGGGAGACGTAAAAGATGGTTTCCACTCAAATTCATCAAGATCTTCTTCGAGGCAAGAAGACCACATGACTGTCAGGAGCTCGAGCAACGCAAATAGAGAATGCTTTTCACATAGAGCAGAAGGACATTCTCTTATGATCTTATTTGCAGATAGCACTGCGACATTCTGCACCCGTTCAATACGGTGGCAGCACGCCACGAAGAAACCAGCCAATTGCTTGGACAAGAAAG